GGAAAGCTACTGGCACTTCTATCAATGACTTTTTCAAAGCACTGTGGGCTTACCATTTCTGAAAACAATGACCATATATTCTTTGCAAGGGATATAAAACTTTTCTATGTCTACCTCTGAAAAAGCAACATCTTTGAATAGGAGCGGACGAAGGGAAAGAAATACAAAATCCACATTATTTGGCACTGAAATAGTTGCTAAGTTAATTTAAGCTGCCTGGAAAGAATACTGGGTAAAGTGAAGTAGGATCAATTTCAGTGAATCTGAGGACTTTTGAAACATGCTGATTAATAACTCAGCAGATCTTCCTTTTCTGACAGAATGGACACAATATAGACAAAAACCTCCTGTATGACTTGAAGGACTGTCTCCAGGCCCTAGAGAACAACTCAGCTCCCTGATCTGTTCAGTTCTTTGGCCAACTTCATTGAAACTGCCAAAGAAAGGGAGCCAATTATTGCCGACTGCAGTGGTCATTTGCACGTGCTGATCCCTAGCAACTGTACTGCAAGTTCAGCCAGAGTCTGAAGTAACCCTGTTGTGGATCAGGCCAGGAAAACTGACCTGCCACAAATTCAAGAGATAACAGATACTGGCGTTTTCAAAGCTGCTGTGGTGCCCAAGCCCCATTGTTTCTGGTGAGAAAGTTAATGCAGCATGTTCTGTTGTTTGCTGCATGAGCTGCCTCTGTACTTCACAAACATAACAAAACACAACCTCTGCCACAACTGAAAACACACAAATCAGCATGTTGTCCATCAGTATTCATGGCACAGTAAAAGGCCAAGGGACACCTGAGCAGGTATATGAGACCACCTGCTCACTCGGAGGTAAGCAGAGAACAAAAGTTTTCAGCAAACTTGTTCCAGACATACTGAACCCCTGCTCTCTGCAGCAAGCACAAGCACATACAGCCTCCTCATACCCAGCTTCCACAATGTGGGTATATTTACCTGAACTGGGCAGTTGAGAACGATGTCAGCCATGAAATCAAATGAGTCAGCTTTCTGGTCTACAGGCTGTAACTAGAAAGGAAGACACAAAAACCCCCCTATTTTGTAACCATGTTGGCTCATCTTACATTTGTATAACAATCCTAATCCAAAAAGAACCTAAATATACCTCCCAAATTTATATAAAGCTGCCTGTATTTACAGACCTTGATTTACCCAAGGCTGAAATGCATCCACTTCTCAGAAAGAACATGGCAACTGCATAACAAAACAACAACTCTAGAAAGAAGCTTAAAATGGGAAGTGGAAAGCTACACTGGATCAGTTTAAACTCCTGGAGGATTTTGGCAGGCACATGAAGTACCTTGGAATTTCGCCAGAAGGCAAGGTCGTAAACTCTCTTCTCTTGCATAAAAGACAAGACACTAAGACTCCCTCAGTTTTTATAGCTAAGCTGCATGATGGCATCTCCAACAAAAGGCTGTTTATGCGTAGAAGATTAAACGAAATTTAATTAGAGGTACTGCTTGATGATCGCAAACAATCATGTCAGCTGTTAAGATGTTACCCCATAGTATATAGAAGTTACCATCCAGGATCTGAGATACTGCCTCTGACTGCACGCACACTCCTACTGCACTGCAACGCTAAGTAAAATGGGTTTGCTTAAGCAATCTTTAACGACTCATTTTTATTGACCTTTACTCATTTCTAAAGGTAGTAAAAGTAAACTGAATTAAAGCCACTTTAATTCCTAATGAAACATTCACAACACATGGATTTAAAACAAACTTCTAAGTAATCCATTTTAAACTGATGTGTGCACTTAGAATTCTTTATTTGGTGGTTTCCCATACCAGCCCATAGAAATATCATCCTTGCTGAATACTGTCCTGCCTTTCGTGACAATGGGCAAAGTAGACTTGAAGTCACTCAGTTGATATCATGAATGACTGTGATCATGCACTCTCTCCTCCCCACGCGCTTTAAGAAGCAGGAGATTCTAGGCTGAGGACAGCACCAAAACCAGAGTGTACCCAATTAGTTAGGAAGAAACAAACACAAGGCCCAGGGCTATCCAGGCCTTCATTGCAATGTTTATTACAGAGATTATTTTAATAGGAGCCAGGTCTAAGTAAAGACCACACATTATATGCAGAGCCTGTCACCTTACCACAGCATTCCAGAGAGCCTTGGCAAGCTGAGAATGGCCTTTCTGGCTTGGATGGAAGCAGTCAGGTGAAAAGTAGGAGACATCTGGATGTCCATCCTACAAATGAAAGTGTAAAGGACATCTGAGTGCAGAAGAATCCACATGGCTCCAACTTGGGGTTGCTGAAGCCAAATCAGAGCCAGTAATGGGAGGTTCATGCTACTTGTTCTTGCTGCTCCAATGAGGAAAGTCTCATGATTACCTGTGATATAAATGAGCTACCAGAAACACTTAACTAGAGATGCTTATGTGCCTCCAAGGGCAGATCCACCCAGAAGTAGCAAAACCACCATTTTCAACTACGTGTCTAGTTCCTCTTCGGGTTCTGCAATAAAGATGGATTCCTCTCCTCAGCACATCATCAGAACTGGCGCCACAGGCACCAGTGTGCTCTGCAGTACATATACATGTTAACAAGCATGTTACAGATACTTTACTAGAAGAAACAGAGCCCATCTGCTTTTTCACAGCTGTGTCAGTTCTGAAAGTTTGAAAGGAGCAAGAAGCAAGTAAAAGTGTTCGAGGGAAGGCAGCCAGGCTGACTGAGCACACCAGTACAGTCTCTTTTCTGAGCAAAGCTGTACTTTAATACAGATACTGAAGGAAATGGAGTTTGGAAATTTAAATATCTTGGCTTTCATGTGAGTACTGAGATGAAAAAGAGCTTAGGTCACAGATGACTGAAACGTTTTTTGGTCAGAGGAGTCCTTACTCAAAACTGGAGCAGGTTTTGATTCAGTGTGGTTGGGCTAGCTTATTACAGGACTACTACCAAAATTTGCATCTATATTGATCTTTTGCCAAGTTTAGAGGCAGATTTTTCAGTTCAGGAACATCTGAATATTGTGTGAGATAAAAAGAAAAAAACAGCATCCTGAACTTTCTTAAAATCTGAACTAATGCTTGTGAGACTATAAAAAAGTTCAGAAATATTTTGCTGCTGCTGTTTTTATTTCTGTGTTCCCTACCTCAGTACCAAAACCCCTAGGGATGACTTTTCACGGGAACCACACACACCCCAAAATAAAAAAATAAATAAATAATAAAAAAAAAACCAAGGCCTTTTTTTCCTGTGAAGCTTTCAGTCAGTTTTCCAAATTTGTCTGTAGCAACATCTGAACTTTTCAAACTTGTCACTATTGGCAGCATTTTCAGGATCGCTCCAGTTCAATTATACCAGAGCAATTCCTACTCAATATTTTGCCCCATCTGCTCTTAGTTCCAGGTGAGATGAGGAAGGGCAGATGCATTTGCAAATTAGCAAGTGGAGTTTCAGTTTCAGAGAAGGTTTGGGTCATTTGCTAGATTTATAGTTTACTGAGACTTACCATTCAAGGAACTGAAATATAATTTCCAATAGTATGAAAAAGGGCTCACTGCATAAAACTACTACTTCCACCAGATCATATATAAACTTCTCTGTCTGTCTGACACAGAAGAATGAGTTATGGCACATGAAGAGGAGGTGCTGCTGTAGTCACCAGTGAGCGATGCAGCAATGTTGCTTTAAGAACTGTAACTTAATATCTGTCTTTTAATAATAGTGTTATATTTTCAGAAAGAAAAATATTTATGTACCCTTGAGAACATACACAAACCACTTAATTCAAGTTTTGATTCATTTTCCAAAACAGTAATTCATATCGACAGCACAATATACAAAACGAAGAACTGCTAACTATATGAAGAAATCTGATGTACTATACCAAAAAGGAACAAGTTCATATAAGAAAAGCACAGAACAACTGAAACTATTTTGCATATACCCACACTTAGTCCTTTGCATGCAGAAGTCTCTTTAGATCCTACCTGACCGAGAGGAATCTTGGAATTTTGGAGAAAAGGCTGGATGACCACTGTGAAATTTTCATGAGTATCATATCTGCCAGACTCCACAAGTGTCTGAATGCCAAGCTGCAAAAAACAAACCAAAAATGACCACAAATAATCTGTCAATATCTCTGCATCATAACTGGTTGGGGTTTTTTTGTTGTTGTGGTGGGGTTTTTTGGTTGGCTTTTTTGTTGTTTGTTTGGGGGTTTGTGTTTTGGTTTTTGTTGAGAGTCCAAGAATCAGAAGAAAGCTTTTACTTCTTAACTGAAATAGCCACGGATGTTGGCAAAAGGTGAGCCTTGCAAAGTGGCTGACAAGGCTGGAACACAATACTGTCGGGGACAGGATTTTGATGACTAAACTCCCACCTATCCATCTGTACTAGAAAACAATTTTTTTTTATTTTTTTTTTTTTTAAAGAGATTTGCTCCTGGTTTTGGTCATATGGTGTTTTGGATAGCATCAAATTATTTCCTGCTTAGCTCAGAGGGTCCATTTGCGTAAAGTACTGCTATGATATGTTGCTTGGAAATCAAGAGCTCAACTCAATTGGAAATAAAATAACTGCACCACTCTTGATAAACATACCTGGTAAGCTTTGGTGGCTTCTCTCACCATTGTTAAATTTGGTGAGTTTTCTTCTCCTGTGAGAACACAACTACACAGATAACTGTGGGAGAGATTAGAGGAGAAAACATTAATAGAGTTAGAGATCGGAGAATGCAGAAGTCATCCTTTGCCACCCAACATCCTCATGACATGGGAGGAACGAGGAAACCTGTACAGTTGTGTTTCTGTGAAAATATCTTATCGTCCTTGCCATCGTTCATCATTTCAACCCTTAGTCTTATTTTTTGCCTCACATGAATGAGGCTTCTCCAAACCAGTTTGGTTTCACCCCCTGGTATATCAAAGTGATGTACACTGTACGATGATAGTTTGTGCCATTCATTACACCCTGGCGTCCAAAGGCCCTGCAGCCTGACAGAGGTGCATGCTGGTCCCTCTGGAACTAGAAAACAGGTTTTTGAAATTTACTTGCTACATTACCTCTGAGCTCATACCTTTCCAAACAACAATTCCTTTTGCATTCCCAAGACAGAATTTTTCCATGTCTGGAGGGTCAGCAAAGAACGCAAATTACCCATTACAATAAAGCCTCTGAAACAGGAGAAACCTGTCTACTCTGCAAATGCTTCATATTCCCTCAAAAGGCCTGAAAATCCAAATGCTTGTGGACTTCAACCCCACCTTGAGGAACCCTGTATCAATAACTTTAACCCAAGCTCAGTGAAGTGTACATTATGTATCACAGGAAATATTACAGTTTTAGACACGGACAAAACACACAGGTCCTCTGACAATACTTAGGTCAAAGCCAAGAGAAGGCAACACTATCAGGCAGGGTGATGTCAGTTCAAATGATGAGAGAAGCACGGAATAAGAACATGCTTTATCATCATGGACAGTAAGTTCAGGTACAAAAGGAAGTCAAACAAGCCTTACTCTGCCATGTAAGTGGGGCACTGAACTTGAGTATCCACAAACAACTGTCTCAGAGGGAGGAGGTCCATCACTTCAACGAGACTCACTAGAGCTTTTGGAACCTGAAAGGTAAGTCATATTTTAGCTTAGAAGAAACTGGTTATGCAACCCACAGTGCACTTATTTTACCCCAAAGTCCAGCCGTTTGATACCCCTTCCCTTTCTCCACGGGGGGGGGGGGAGGCAACAAAAGCCCCCCCCCCAACTCCTCCTACTCAGCTTTTGATTCTTTTCCAACACCATGGTCCAGTGTTACTGTATCATTTCAGACAGCACCTCACTATTCTCAGAGAGACAAGGCAAAAGAAGATGCCTTGTCAAAGGAATACGTTTGGTACCAGAATGAAAAAACCCCACGAAAATCAAACAAACAGAATAGCTAGCACCAGTCAATGTACCAGTACGAGCTAGAATGAGAGGACAATTTCACAGCACTTGCCTGCTGGTGCAGAATATCCAGAGTTTCTTGAATCCTTCTGATGAAATTCCCAGCTGAGTAGTGATCCTGATAGAAACAGAAGAGATTACTGCTAAATGGAGACACAAGACATTTTGGTTGGGAAACTGAAGAATCACATTAATTAACTTCCTTTTCTGCCATACAACACTGTGGTCAGTAGGATGTTCTTGCTTTTTCTAGAGAGTAGGGATTTTAAGCATATCAATTAATCTAAAATGTATAAAGACTCAGTGAAATTTTGGATTTAAAATAAACCTTGTTGAGTAGCAGTATATTTAACTCAAATCCACTGGGTCCTTCATGTAAAGATGCAGAAAGGAACTCACTCTGAATGCATGCTGAACAGCAGAAACCAAGCAGCCATAGACATGCTCACAGCCAGCTGATAAGCTCTCATAAAATTAGGTGAAATCATTGCTAGTCAAGGTCATAGTTATAAATAAAGCTATAAAACTTGGCAGCAGCAGCAAAGATGCCTAGCGAGACTCCTGCAGAAGCAGGAAATTTCTCAAGCACAAGGGGTTGCAGGAGAATTGAAAATGCTCACAAGAAGTTAACGTATTAAAGGCAAGAGAGCAAGAGCTGGCAGAGAAAGGTGGCCTCTCCCTGCCACCTGCGCATTCAAGTCCCACGATCTCTTTATGGCAGCCCTAAAGGCTTCTCCATAATCCAGAGAAACATAAAATCCAAATGATAATGAGCACTGCAGCAACTTCCCTCATCCATGCCTCACCTGTTCCTAGCACCTCCCTACACTGTGAGTTATGGGGTGATGACAATTGTAGGACTGGATTAGTGGTAGTTCGAAGCAGTATAATCCTTTCCTGGATGTCTAAAGAGGCCTTGCTAGCAGTACAGCAGTTACCACATCAGAGGAGTAAAGCTTTTCTTCCCTTCCACTTTTTGCTCGTGGTCAAAAGACAGTAGCAAAGACAGTGGTTCTTACCCTGGAGTAAGCCAGAGAGAGCACAACCATCCTACTCTGTTGCTGGTAACTGTTTTTTTATCAGGGCACCGTCAGCAGCAACCAGCATCAAAATATACAGCAGCACACACATAACTCATGCTTTCTCTGTGGAAGCTCTGAGGATCCATGGATTTCCCTTGACATGTTTTTACAGTGACATGACAGTCCCACTACAGTTTCAGTTAACCACTTCTACTCACAGGGTCTTTGCAATAGTTGCACAGATCGTTGCCTCCAATATGCACTGTTATGAGCTTCCAGTCAGCATTGAAGTCGATTCGCTGTGCAATAAGGAAGAAAATAACGTGTCTGAGTTTCTTTGACCTCATGATACACACATGGTATCATTGCAGGTGGATCTGTCACGTGATGCAACACCTGATTCTTTTCATGCTGTAAGATTAAAGGAGTCCCAGACAACTTACAGGATCAGTTTTCATTACTCTCAGGAGATTTCTTGCTTGGGCTGGTAAGTGCCTGTGAAGAAGGACAGCTAGTGAGTGAAAGAAACATCCTTATGGAGAGATCAACATTAATGTTCTTCAGACACCTTAAATCAAGTTGTCAGATATCAGGAGGGTTGAGTGAGGAGACAGTAAAATCCTCATGTTGCCATGATGAAATTACACATTCACATCTTTGTGGAAAGTCAACATCAAATTGAACTTGAATACTGCTTTTACTCAAAATCAGTAATTAATCTGAAACTTCTATGACAGTACACTTTGCACCTAAAACAGCTGAAAAGCCAGACACAGCAACATGTTTGTAAGCAGATGGGCTGTTTAGAACTAGGCTGTTCTCAATCTATTCCTCGTGGACTAAAACAAGAAGGGAATCCCAAGTCTCAATATTTAACTGACCTCTTGAGTGATGTTTGGGCATATACCACAGCTGACCCCCCTGCAAAGCTGAGGTGTTTCAGAGTTCACTGTGTACATCTCCCTCATTTCTGTAGCCTGCACCCAGAGTCAATACTTAATTGTCAATGGTGTAAAACAGCTCTGTGCACACTACATTTCCAGGATACTTAAAGATCCAAGCAACTTTCAAAGTTACTCAGGCAAGTTAAGATGACAGCCTTGCTGTTTTCCAATAGCCAAGCGACCACTTTTTCTCTCTTTTGTATATATACACATACACACATATATATGCCATGAATTCTGAGTTACCTAGACTGAACACTTCAACCTTGTTTGACTGCCCTGACATGTTGATCCTCAAATATGCATAGAAAAGAGAATGTGGTTGGAAAGCTTTGGCCTTCCAGGCAACTCTGTAGCATGGCATGAGCTGCATCTCCCTTCAGGCTCTTGTTAGAAACACTTCACTGACTGTCTATCATTTCTGGAAGCACATCAGCTGACATTAATAAGCATGACACTTGTTTTGTACGGCAACCATAGCTTAGCTCTCCTTTGCAATGTTGTGTTTACTGTAGGAACAGGAGATATTTCTCACCACCCTCCTCCAGCTGAGTACTGATCTAACACTAACATAAGAGAGCATTTACTGGGGAATGAGCTCCGTCATACATCCACTTGTGACACAGACACTGCATGCATGTAATAGTTCTGTTCGCTGTTATCCTTGTTCATAACCTACTTACTGATACGCCAAAGCTATCACAAGCCACAAGTGGTCATGATTTCCGTCTGTTCTTACTGGGGAAACCCGTAAGCTAGGGCATTGACTTCAATATTGTTCCAGAGGAAAACACCCTGTATTGAGCTGACAATCTGCAACACCTTCAATTTCTCATGCAGTCACTGAAGTGCTGATGCATCCTGAGCCAGTGCAGTCAGTAAGATCTAACAACATCTTGAATGAAGCAGTGCCAACAATCATCCATCCTTGAGCTGCAGTCTCCAACAAATTTAGATCTTGATCAACAGAAACAGTTTGCTAATGGGAAACACAGACATTCACAGTTCCTGTCACCTGTTCTCTCCTCTCAGTCTTAAATTCTAAACCTCCTTTTTCCACATAAAATCAGAGATGTCAGCCAGGTTCAGCTTCAGCAACACGCTTCAGATCTAGCTTTAACTCCAGCATGTACGTAAGGTCTTTGGCAATGAATGCAGATAGGTTTAGGAACATTTTGCTGAATGAGACCTGCATTGCTACAGAGCCACCAAGTTCACTAAAGAGCTCTTCAAAGCAGCCACTGACTTCATTCTAAGAAACCCTTACACCTGGTTTCCAAAAGCTGGTAAGGGTGCAGAACTACCTGATTTCAGAAAGGTCCTAGCTCCTCTGGAAAGCAGTTTCCAGACTAGCACCCAAAAGTGAGCCAGGTCAGGTAACAATTCTGAAATACCAGCATTAGCTGGTGTACTCTTTTTGCCCTCTGAATCATAGCAAAATGGCTATTTTTGGCTGATGAAAAATAAATGCTGGATCACATCATCATTCCAGGACCAAATACATAAAGTAAGAAAACATTTCCTTACACGGCAATATATTTCAATATTCAACTAGGATGCGTTCATCTTCTCAGATGCGTCAAGAGCCACAATGTGACATAACCCCAAAAGAAGCATCTCAAAGTTCAGGGATATTAGTGTAGTAGTTTACAGGACTTGACTTTTGCATGCCTTTCTACAAAGAGTTACAAGACAGAGAAACAACAGAAGACTAGCAGAAATCTGACACAATTGTTGTCTGCATCTCCTTGCTGAATGTTTACAAAACATGGTTACAGAACATAGATAGCTCCACTTCATCATATTTATCCAGTTTATCCAGTCCAGCTTCTTGCATAGGAAAAGAGAAGACTAATTGGTATAGATGAAGTAGACAAATTTTCATTAGACTAACATCCATCAACTCATTTCATACGGCTAACAAAGAACTATTTAATAGGATTGCCTTAGTTGCTACTGATGCAAACTGCTTTAAGTCATGTTGGTGACTTAAGAGGTTGTGTATTCTGTCTGAAGTCCTCCTACCACTCCAAAAAAGCCTATTTAGGATTTAACTCATACAAAATACAATGCAGGCACCTATCTCATTCCTTCCTATAACAAGCAAAAGCTGAAGCTAATCTGGATATATGCTGCATATGGATGTATGTTAATAAATTCTCCTGAATGGCTGAATCAGAGCCATAATCCTTGCATGTTTCACTGACGTACGCAGATACATTCAGTCATCACTAGGAAAGAAAATCCCTTCTCTCAAGTATGGGGGGGCTGTAGGATATATCAGGGGACCTAGCAGACTATTTCTGTCAGGAAATCCAAGCATTTACTGTGATTTCTAGTATGAGTCAGAAGTTACTCAAGGCCTACAGGAGAGCAATAAAAATACCTGATAAATCCTAACAATCTTTGCTTAGATACAGCAAATTCAAACACCTCACTTGGCTTTTGAACTTCACTTCCAAGACCTCTTTGGGAAGTAAGAGGAATTTTTTTTAAACAAACGAATTAAGGTCTGGGTAATATCAACTAACAATGTCAGATCCAGGCATGGTCTGCTAGAACCTGTGCCCAAACTATGACTGAATTCCAACAGCCATCTGTTTTGTTAATTAAACAGCACTGACTCTTTCAATAAGAAGCCAGGGATTTCTAGGATAAGCAGTATAGCAAAGCTTAAATCATGCAGCCTCCCAGGTGTGACTAAAAGCAAAGGGCCAAATTCAGATGACTGCAAGACATTACAAACCCTCTTATATTGGCAGAACTAGCTGCAACTGCACCAGGTCTGCAATGCACCAAAACCCATATATGACCATCAGCAATTCTTTCCTCAGATTCCAGACTGTGGCTAGGTTTTTTCCTCTCTCTCGACCACTCTTGCTTGCTTATCCAGAAGCCTGAGGCCAGAATTTTATGGGATATTTCATCTAGTTCTTCCTCCTAGTATCTCTTTACCCATCCACTACAAGTTCATTTTCTGAAAACATCCATGCTCTCAGAGATTTATTGACAGGTAAATAAGTGAATAGATGTTCAAGAAGAAGGGTATAAACCACCACCTCCAAAGACTTTCTGCCAGTTTCCTGCTTGTGGATTTCATAACCAGGACTGTTGGCTTCATTTGAAAGTTCAGCTATGAAATAAGCCCATACATTTAACATGTTTTGAGCCAATTTTCAATTCTAACTAGACTGGTTTTGTTTGCTCTGTTCAGAGCAAGTTGTGACAGCACATGAGACAGTTGAAAGGGAATTAGATGAAGCATCCATCACCTGCAAATGTAAAACAAAAAGCTACATACTCCGCCTGTGCTCCAGGAACTGCCTGGTTAAGGAATGCATTTGAATCATTCTCGCTCCCGGTGCCAATCGAATAGCCCACGATCGCAGCATTGAACTCTCGAAAGATGTCTGAAAAAGGAAGATGACAATGAAGGGAAAATGACTACATCTGCTCCCTGCCTACAGGGACTAGCACACACCAGCGCTGCCACAGTTTGCTCTCTGTCAGCACAGCACAGCTGCTGCAGCCTCCAGTCAACTAGATGCATCCACCAAGCAGTGGCAAGAGGGATCACCAGCTGGCAGCGACTCAGCAGCGTGCTTGCTGTGCCCTGTGTTGTCACCGACAGATAAGATGAGCAGAATTGAGGACTACTGTGTGCAGTTATCTCTCATGTTGTAGTGGTTAAAGCCTAAAATAAATTCTCAGTCATATGATGGTGACTTTGTGAAGCGAGCCTGAAAGGGACTTCAGCCCAGCAGAAGCAGATCTCAGAATCTGGGTCTGCTTCACGGCTGTGCAAAATCTCATACTACTGACAAATATGAAGAAGAAAGCCTCAGATGCATGGTTCTGATGAAATCCCACCACGTTCTCCACTACTTCCACAGTACTTTCCAAAAGGAAGTTGACAGAGTAATTTGTAGCTGAGAGTGAAAATGGTCACATCGTAAACTATAAAGGTTACCTTCTTCTCAAAGACTGAATTTAACCACATTTCAATGAAGGCTTTCCAGTGAATCAATTAATTGCTGCTTCTAATTATATTATTGTTACATTCTGTTTACACAGACAAACAAAACCGAAGGACAGTTTACTGGCCCTCTTTAAATGGGAGTTTATTACAGCTCATCCAAACAGAAACTCAAGTGGCTTTACATTAACAATAGACTGAGCTATAAGAAGTTGCATGTTTCAGTGAAGAGAAAGTTAAAATTATTCCCCTCAGGTTACATGTACAAGTAGTCAGCTTTATTTACCAAAGAGGTCTGCTCCATGCAAACATCTCTTTTTGCAAAAAGCTGTGATGGAATATTTATTACAAGCAAATCACAGAATCATAGAATGGTTTGGGTTGGAAGGAACCTTAAAGATCATCTAGTTCCAACCCCCTTGCCATGGGCAGGGACACCCTCACCTAGCCCTGGTTGCTCAAAGCCCCATCCAACCTGGCCTTGAACACTTCCAGGGATGGGGCATCCACAACTTCTCTGGGCAACCTGTTCCAGTGCCTCACCACCCTCACACTAAAGAATTTCTTTCTAACATCTAATCTAAATCGACCCTCCTTCAGCTTAAAGCCATTACCCTTCATCCTATCACTATGTGCCCTTGTAAACAGCCCCTCTCCAGCTTTCTTGTAAGGCCCTTTAGGTACTGGAAGGTGGCTATAAGGTCTCCCTGAAGCCTTCTCTTCTCCAGGCTGAACAGCCCCAACTCTCTCAGCCTGTCCTCACAGGAGAGGTGCTCCAGCCCTCTGACCATCTTTGTGGCCTTCCTCTGGACTGGCTCCAACAGCTCCCTGTCTTTCTTGTACTGGGGGCCCCAGAGCTGGACACAGTACTCCAGGTTGGGTCTCATGAGAGCAGAGTAGAAATGTTAATTACATCACAAGCATGGACGTAGCAAGCTTATTTAGAAATTCAAATAACACTCACTAAGCAGTTGAAAAGGGAGAGGGAAAAGAAAGGAAGGGAATTTCTAGCTGCTTCTCAGCTTCACCGATGAAGCCAACTTTTTATTCATTAGTCCTAGGATATTCTTTCTTTGAAAGGTAGTTCTTGTTAATTACGCTAAACCAGCTTTGAAATACTTAAAGAGCTCTCTGTGAACATGTAAGAAATCAGCCCATTCCCCCTCTCCAATCTTGCCAATTAGATCCAGCAAAACATTTACTTACTAGGTAGAGTTGTCACGTTCTCTAATGACATATCTCCTCCAATACTAAAATGAGAAAGAGAATCCCAGTCACTCATCTCTTAGCTGGACACAGACAATAAGCAAAGTGAAAACCTACCACACATCGTGAGAAAAAGTGAAGGGTTTTTAATTTGGTAACTATCAATCTATGAGATTATGTGGAGAGGACAGAAGGGGAAGTGCTCTTGGAGAGAATGGCTGAGGTTTCAGTGGTAAAGATGCTTGTCAGAAGGATTTAATGATCTTGCAGCTGTACAGGGGTGTAGTCAATCATTATGAAACAGCAGAAAAATTCCCAGGACAGCTATATACTTGAATGATTGAGCCCTAAGGTACTGCAGATTAGAAGGTTGACTTTGAGGCCAGTTCCAGCCTCATGAAGCCACTATAAGGCAGCATGAAACCACCAGCCCCTGGATGACAAGAGAACTGCAGCAGCAGCTCCTCATTCTCTTCTCCTGCTTCCTTCACAGGGGTATGTTCTCTCCAGCTTTTCAATTGGTGGGACATACTGAGGCCACACTGTGGCTTACGGAGAGGTGTTAGGACAGTACAGAACTGCTTTAGTCAATGTCAATTGAGCTACATCATCACACAAAAAAAATTTAGTCTTTTACAACTGTGTGCTGCATGTGGTAAAAGTTCTCTGGTTAAACAAACTGTTTTCCATGGTGCTATACAAAAAGTTCAGAAATAGTAAACTTTGAGAAGTCCCAAAAGCAACCAGTTCTGACTTGTTTGTTCCAGTGATTTTTCTCCAGGTTTTTAGATTTCCAATTTGCCATCCCACCATAGAAATACAAACTATCACAAGCAAAGATGAAAGCATGAGAGAAGTCAAAAGGCTGGCTTAAAATCTATTGCTGAAAACATTTTCTGTGAAGCCACCCTTATGACAAACCCTGGATCTTGATACATCTTCACAAGAAATGCTAGCCCAAGAAGCAACTTTTTTCCCACCTTTCTGACAGCTGAAAGCCCCAATAGATGTGGAAGAGAATATTCTTTACAGGAGAGAATACACATCTCCTTGTCACCTTGGCTGAAGACTTACCTCCAAGACAGTCCCCGGTATTCAATGTCCAAATCCAGGAGATTATCTGAGGCAATTCCTGTACCAGCCTAGATGTTATTTTTCATTAACCAAATGAAATTAATACACAATTACTAACACAATAGTCATTCATGCATAGGCATTTTATTTACTTTTGAATGCATCTGTTCAGAAGCTTTAGAAGGCATCTGGCTTTTCCCCAACCTTCTTCCTGAAGAATGCATCAATACCTTTTGTAATAGTTTACAAGCATCATGTTGTATATGACGCACAAAATATATGATGAAGCTGTGGAACAAAGGCTTTTTTCTCACAAGTCTAGATGACTGAATAATTCATTTACAGTTCCATTACTCAAGAATGATGAAAACGTCTCAAACGCACACAATGAAACTTTTTGGCTAACGATAAGGAGCACTATACAAATTCAACAGAGAAAACAAACATATCTCAGAAAGAAGCACCATAATACTTCTACACCGATTTGAAAAGTATTGTGCTAAATGGCAAGAATTATAGTAGTACTACAGCAAGGAGGGAAGCACTCTCTACACCTACCCTGAAGAACGAGGCAAGCTGGCTACTACATCCCTCCTAAAACACCACCAGAATTCAGAAGCAGAGTGCCTGCCAGCTGTGATACTATAGTTTCATGTCAAATTTGGGTACGGGGTAGTAGTTCAGTGCAGCACAAGATCAGGCAGACTATTTGCTGCTACCCCAAAGTAAACCATAATACTACATTTTCTTCTATGTATAAGCTTCATTGAATTAATGGAAGACTGGTGTTCAGAGTAACTATGCATGGGCCAAGTGCAGCTCTGAGACAGCAATGCGTCACTGCACTTTATATGAAAGCAGATTTTATTCTCAGTTCCTACAGACTATACTTAGAAGCAGAAACACCTGCAGAGTTCTGGATATTATAATATGGCAACCACAGCTATATACAGAATATCTTTCATTTGTCAATATTGCAGGTTTGCATTCAAATGCTTCTATTTATTTCAGTAGCCTCCTGTGTGTAGGAGTTTTAGCACCATGCCTGCCAGAGAGTTGTAAAGGCTTCATGGTTTGTACACACAATGTCTTTGTTAAGGCTCAGATTTAAAGAAACCTATGTTCCAATTAAGTCTTTCTGCCCAGTGTTTCCTTTGAGCTGGCTGTAGAGTTTCAGTCTTTGACCAGTATGAGAACATTAGGCAGAAAGACATAATTGGAATATAGGATGTCTAGATCTTGAGACATATTCCTTCTAGGCTACCAAAGATAATAATCGTCAGGAAGAATTACATCTTGATAAAGAAATTAGCTATATGTTAAAACAGCCACAATAAAAAGAGTGAATGTATTCTGAAATGGATAAAGTCAGAGGGCTCTCACCCCTGTACATCCTTATCTCATTAATGCTAAAATGAATAAAATGCTATTATTCGACATCCTTTAGTCATGCACTGTTCCTGAAAGAACCAAGGCAAAAGAACAGGTTCACCAGTCTGTTCCTATTCAGAAAAACTTTAAAAACCACAGTAACCTAAGGCTTGTGCTATGTCCCATTAGTTTCAATAGCATCTGATCTCTTCTGTCGCCAATTCAGCAAACTATTTAAGCACCTCTTTAAAGGATTTGCCTGTATTTTTGCGTGAGTTCAAAGGCATGTGATACGTGCGTGGGGGGAAACAGAGTGCTGGAGAACTGACACTTTCTTTCTTGTTCTAGCTGCTAGTTCTATTATCATCCGTGAATGAATGGATCTTTGCTTCTAGGTACAACAGCTATTTCCCCTCCACTGAAGCAGATGCATGTTTGTAGTTTTACCAAGAGAACAGTAAAAACATTATCTTCTTACCGTCAAAGAATCCCCAAGGGCTGCTATAATTTTCACATCAGCTGGCTTTAGGGAATGCACTGCAAAGGAAAGAGATACAGTTGAACCTGAATAGGAAATAGCTACTCTCTTTCACCACTGTATATATGAAACATGCCATTGTGTATTTTGACGCTCAGACGTGTTGTTTTTGCAACACCCAGGAGCTCTCTCCAGCTCATCTCATGTGGTTGTAGCAGCAGCATATGCATATTATTCAGCATCTCAATGGTTAACATTGCTACTGAAAAGACAGAAGAGCAAGGTGCAAATAACACTAAGTTGCAAACAATATCCAGCATCAAAATGAATGTAAAACATTGCAGTATTAGACAAAGCAGGAATGGCATATTAAAGCTGTAAGAAGGCAGAGAAGGACTAAGAAGACAATATAAAGTTACTTGAAAAACTGAATACTGCTATGTCCTAGACTAACATGCATGAAGCTGGATTTCCAGTTTCCTTTCCCAAGATTTAGGTGGTATCACTCATAGGCTAGGTCAGCATACAAATCTGGATTTTATCACAAGATATTTTGAAGTTCTCCACTGGCAGTGAGTTAAGTGGAGCTACTGAGTCAGAATGTTACCTTGTGTGACAGTATGGCATTGTATCTATTAAGCAACTGCTGAAAAACATGACATCTTTTCCAAGCAGTATTTTTCACAGTCCAGCAGTCATTTCAGCAAAAATAAAAACTCATCTTGAAGGACAGTTAAAGGTAATTCAGTCTCTTAACATAAAACAGCCAGACTACCTGAAGTTGCAGGAGGGGAGGATGGAGACCTGTCCTCACATAGCAGCTGGCTTCCATAATTCTAAAAAGAAGAAAGCTGAATAGCATTTGGCTAGCAAATACAATCAGTAGTAACTAGGATCTTCCTAGTAGAGGCCAGGTGGATAAACCAGAGCCTGTTTAGCATGTAATCAACCAGACAGGTCTTGGTTGTTCAATTCAGTACTCATATTCAGTATTGCTCGGATTAGAGTAGCATCCTGTACTGACAACCATGCTGTCTCAGCATGTGTCCTTACAGGTGTTTCTGGATGCATTTTGCCTAACTCAGGGAGTGCTTTACTGTTCCATGCCATGCACTCAGCCTCCAAAACCCCTTCGGCCAAAGGCTGATTTCACCTGTGGTGCAGAGCATGACTCATCTGGTTACCACAGAGGAACAGATGCGTCAGAATAACAGTGGAACGGTGATGTTGACACTTACTAGAGTTTGGTTAGGGTATGTGTAATTACTGTTCTTATATGTCCTCAGGAATGGCTCAGCCTACAAAACAAGGCAAAAAAGTCAATGCAAAGCATCAGAAGAATACATGGAGATTTCCATTCCCCCAACCATCAGTTCTTAGATGTCTGCAGATGACTAACAGCTTGATGCAAATGAAGTGTAAACCTGGGGCAATATTTTTATACAGCCAGAACTTACAGAATACACTCAGGATCCTGTAGTCTGTGATTAATAAGAAGCTTGTGGTCCCACTCAAAGTAGTCCCAGTGACCACTGCAGAGCTGTGCTGACTGGTGCCATTGTTGTTCTGTTTCCCACACTGAAGCTCTGTCATCCAGTGTGGATACTTGATGATCTTTGACTAGGTAGGCCAAACACCCTTTCCTTGTGTTTCAGCCAACTGTGATGTGTGACTGCGAGGAAACTTACTCCTATGACAAGCTTGCCCTCCAGCTCATGGGGGAGCGCTCATACTGCTACCGGTGGCAGTGGCACAAACTATGTGGGGAAGAGTCAGACCCCCCCTCATGGAGACAATGCTCCAGGCAGTTGGTAAAGACTCACACAGACTCCCAGCCACCCCTAGCACCTCCACGTAAACACACTCTTGTAACTTACCTCACTTGGACATTTGAGAACAATCTCATCTTCTATTTGCTGATTATCTGTCTTTTTCCCTAAGGGTTCTAGCTGTGGGGAAAAAGGGGGGTGCATGGAAGAAAAGTGAACAAGTATGAGTGAGCAACAGGTAACGCTGTGCTACCAGCCACTGGAAACCACCTCTGCAGCACAGAAAGACAACTGCAGTGCACTGCACCTGTGCTGGCAGCTGCCACCATGCACTGTTTCTTTGCATGCTGAAGAGTCTAATTCCCATACACCACGAATGTGGCCTGATGATCAACATGCCAAGAAGGCATCATGTCCCTGAGAGAAGTCCCAACATCCCAAGCCTTAACATACCCTGAGATTTACTGGTTTGATATGACTGGTTTAACAGTTCAGGTGACCTTTCTTCACATGATCGCATTTTCCTTTGTAAACACAATTAAGTGTTCAGAAGAGATAGGGCTAGCTTCCTAGTAGCTCCCTGCGGGTTTTTTTGCTGCCAAGGATAGGAAGGAGTGGACAAGGAGTGACCAATATAACCTCTACAAATCTTACCATATTGTTCCACAAAGCACGTGCAGCCTGGGAATGAGACTTCTGGCTGAAGTGGAAACAGTCTGGGGCAAAATATGAGCTGTCCGGTAACCCCTCCTAGAGAACAAGACGGGTGCTGTCACAGAGGCAGTAAATATGCAACAAGCTGTGCATAATCCCCTCTTTCTTCCAGCGAGATATCCCAGCTCACTTCAAAGCAAAGTAGCTGCAAAGGCCTCCGAGGCCAAGAGAATTAAACCAGGCTAGAGAACACTAGTAACTCAAAACTAAGAAGCCTTTTAAAGCTTTTTATTACTTTGGAAATCCTGTATTAACTTATACACACCACTATGACTCTGGGTATGGAATACCTGGGCACAGATATTGATTGTATTCTTTAATTCCCCTAATATTCACACATTATAGTCTTTTGAAGCACGTGGGTTTTCATACTACAAGTCATTTACCAAAGTACTGGAAGGGACTTTGTGATGTATGGTGGATATAGGGCGATGCTTCCTGGTGAAGACTTTGAACTAAATATCTACCGTGTGGTTGTCTCATTGCAGTGGAATAGACTCAGTGCCCCAAATCGTGTCTTCAAGGTCTGTATTCCTGTGGCCCATTATCTCTAAGTTATTCTACACGCATTTTCTGCAATTTTGGATGTTAACTTAACTGAATATAATAATTATTAGGCCAGAAAACTGCTGGTCACTTTTACAGCCAAGACAATTTTGAAAAGTCAGTGGAATTGCACCAAAGTTTAATGTAGGGGCAGTTTTTTGGGTTGTTTTTACCTGTGTTTTTGGCATGTTCACATTCATCAGAAATGGCTGCATAACCACTGTGAAATCATCTGTAGTGTCATACCTTCCGCTCTCCACTAACTGGCGGGTTCTCTCCTAAAAAGTCAAGGAAAAGTTGTTACCATTCCTTCTTTTATGTTCAGCTCATCAAGTCATTCCATTCATCTACATCTCAACCCAGAGGTTCCCCCTCCCTAATGCAGAAACCCAGACAAGGCCATGGTTTCTAGCTTGTGCCAGGCAGCCAAAGCAGCCATCTTTTTGAAATATGAATCCCGGGCTTCTTTGCAGAGAGGCAGCCTGGGGATGGCTGCCTGATGGACATGGGCAAGCAACCTGCTCAGTAATTAGATTTTCTGTCAAAAAGATGTTCTTCCAGAATCACTGAAGTATTTTTGGTTTGGCTGAAAGCCCATGCCCAAAATTTGTTCCTGAGTTATCACATTCTTTGACTTAATCTGATCTCTAACAAGACAAGTGATCAAAAAACTGTTGGCTCTCTGACATACTCTACTTTCAATGGCTCTCTAACACTTTTTCTTCTCATCTGTTTTGTTGTTTTAGTGAATCAGAATTGTAAAGATCTTGAGCCTACTCCCATCTCCCCCTCACCTTTTTTTTTTAAATAACAACTAAAAATATGTCATTAAAATGAGTGGAAACTGTCCCCCACCTCCACATATTTGCCCCTCTGTGGTCCCTTGATCAACAGGAGGATAACATTAAATCTGTAACAAATGTCACGTGCCTTACCTGATATCTTCTGTTAAAGTAGACCAACTTCTTTAACTCGTTGGAATTGTCCTCAGGATTTATGACACAAGAGCATAGGAGCCTGTGGGATGAGAGCATGGCGCTAAGATCCGCTCCTCTTTTTTCTCCCATTCCCAAGCTGAGAAGCAAGTCAAGTTTCTGTGAATTCATGTTGGCTGCCTTTATCCTTCCCTGGAATTTTGATCCTTCTAGCACAATTTTTTTCTTCTGATGCTCCCTCTCCTTGGGCACACCTCATTATTACTCGACAAATCCAAATGAGGAAAAGGACTCCTTTTAAAAATCCTGTCATATGATCACAGTAAAGAATCCCTGAGAGAGCTCTTAGAGAAATATCTCCCAGGGAGATGCAGTTGATACATATAAAGTATACACAGATCCCTACCACCTCCAAACTTGTTTTCATGGAGGGCAACTAACAAAACAAGATTTTACTTCTACAGTACATCTACATGAAAGGCAATGCAAACATAAACTGTGTTTTCACAAGTGGATCAGTAACATAAGCAAGGCAAAATTAGTGGAGACATAATGTCTTTTTAGGTTATTTGCTAATCTTGGGGGGAAAAAAAAAAAAAAAAGAGACAAGCTTTCAAGATCAAAAGCTTCCTTCAGGTCCTTCTTCAATTCGGTAGCATGGCATTTATTATCCCACACAGGGTCTAGTTAGTACCCTGTAAACTTGGTTTTCTGCCAGATGGGCAAATGTCAAAATCAGCATAGCACCTGAAATATTGCGAAAAGGTTACAGGTATCTTGAGATAATCTAATCTTAAAGGTTCCACTAACTATCCTTGTCCGGTCATTAGGGTCTTGAGACACCTGTGTGCTCTGGCCAGTAACCTTTGTTAAAAAGAAAAATTACAACCAGTTATCAGAAGCACCAGCACTCTGAGTTTAAAAGCTAATTTTCCACTGGCAGCCACTCAAGAGTCCTTAAATCAGAGCAAGAGGGTTGCATCTATGTTCCTCCTGTAAAATCACCTTCTTTCATGGGGCCCTTCAGGTGCGCGCACTTTCCTTGTCAGCAGCTGCAGAGTCCCTTGCAGCTGAAGGGATCCAGCAGGATGGATTCAAAACAGATGTTTTAGTGAGGCAGCTGGGTAAGGGAGAACCTGTAGGTCTCCTGTGATTCTGGCCTCCAAGCTAACTCTTACAGTCTATGCTGATGGTATCTGGTACCAGCTCTTTGGCCCGAGCAGTGGGAGGAGCAATGGCTACCTACATTCACAGACCAAGGTTATTCTGCCTGTCTGTCCAGAAAAGCAGAGACTTGCTTTTCTGAAACCAAGCAAGTTCTGCCAGGAACAAGTCTAGGGGGACATGCTGGACCCTACCTGAGTCACCAGAAGTTCACTGAGATGCAGACCTGCCATCTCAGTGGCAGATTCACACTGACCTGGGATGATTGTTGAGCCACGAGGCAACAGGTAGCATGATTAAGCATCCCAGACATCTACTTGAGAGATTAATTAACAATAAAACCAATAATCAGCAATGAGATTATGGAGATCAGAAACTACAGAAGCAGGAGGGGGAGTTTTAACACTGCAGAAAGGTAAATCTGTAAATAAAGTTATCAGCTAATAAAACCCTATATCTTAACTTCTTCTCTGTCTTTGCCCAAAGAGTGCACAGGTCTTTCTGCTCTGGCTTGAACTCCCTTGCAGTATAAGTAATGAGATGTTAAAATGGCACCTCCACAAAAAGTGGTAACAGCAGAGCTCAGACACAGACACAGTGACAGACAGACAGGTATTTGTAAATGCTGTGTTGAGATCAACGTGTAGGTACATGTGCATACACAGAGGAAGGTGTTTGGTGGTCTGAAACACTAGAACTTTTTCCCTTTGAGAAAAAAGGTTTCCCGAGAAGACTTGCAGCCTTCTGTGAGCAACAGTGAGAGCTGTAACATAAATCATCTTCAGACCTCATAAGCAGCTTTGGGCAGCTACTATTTTTTGATGCATGCAGCTCCCGGAGGCTCGCTATGGAAAGCACTGTCACCAGGTTCACAAATGCCCGTGGAACCTGCCAAGAGAATAAGCAAACCCATAGCCAATGCCCGGCGTAGACAGTGCCATCTTTGCCCCTACACAGCCACAGCAGACCTCAGGTAGCAGCCTGCTAATTCAGGCAGCTTGCATTATTTATAACAGAGGTGTTCAAAGTACTTTCTCAATAATTAATCTCCCACATGTACAATACTAAATTACAGCCCCTGCCTGCGCTCCCTAGTTCTATTTCAAATGCTGATGGCTGGTCACTTGAAAACGATGACTTCAAAAAGGTCCAAACAGGTTGTTATATGTCTCAGCATGGCTTAGACATCTGCTAACTCTTTGAGTACTCTCATCATCCTCACCCTCATCTGGAATACCAGAATCTCTCTCAATGACCACAAAAAATATACTTATTTGCAGTATAATGAATGAGCAAAGCATTTTCTAGCCATTAAATACCATATGTTTGTTCAACTCTGTTAAAATACTTTTTACGTTATTTGTCCACAGCACATCAGCTAGAACTGAGCACATCCTTATTCCTTTGGTAAAATACTTCTCCGGCCCTGTCTCTCACAAAGATTTTCTTGCAAGCAAGCATCTCTGCAGACAGCAGTGCTCCGCAGATGAGAGCAGGGAGGAACTAAATTCTCAATCAGCAATCAGTGACTGCTTTACAAACAGAACACAATCTCCACTCCCACATACTAGAAAAGTTTGTTTTACCTCTCTATGAAGTAAGTCCAAAGCTGTTTGTAGATTGTAGGTGTAGTTTTCAGGAGAATAGCGTGCCTGTTGAAGCAAGAGGGTTGAATTCTATTGTCAATCAGTTTACTCAAGCAGGCACAACAGTGACTAGCTGGAATCTCTCACAGCAGCATTCATGTTTCTAACTCTTATGCCAAGAGTAACAGAGTCTTAGGCAAAACCGCCCTGTCTCTGCTTTTCTTCTTATCCATCATAGCTGTCTCACTCACAAGATCCAGTGGTCACTGGATACCAGTGAGGAAGCAAATTCAGGAGGCATTATCAGACATCACAACATCCTCCATCCCCAGGCTTGCTCGGGCCAGTCTTAAAAGCATGGCTAACACCTGACTAACATGGACCATCTTTAGGAGAGATCAGGTTTTGTAAAAGTAAGTTTGTTTCTGCTGTATGGAATATTAGCAACATGCCTCCCATGTGCTCCTTACCTGCCACAAATAATAACTGGCAAACTTAGGTGCTTATCCGGGAATGAAATCACTTTACATACTTGCCTCTCAGCAGTGAAATTTCCCTGTTCAGTTTGAGCGGTTTAAACCCTCTAATTTAATAATGTCAAGTAACCCAATTTTTATTTCTTAACTTGTGGAACTATTCGACAGTCAAATAAACTTCCCTATGAGAAATGTCTGTCTTATTTTCAGCCTTAATTCTCTGTGATTTAATTTCAAGCAGGAGTTCATTGAGAGCCCCGCTGGCCTACTCTACAGAACTAGACAGCTCAGTTCCCTTATTCATTTCCTAAATCACAGCTCCCCAAGAGCACTGTGGTTGGCACACATAAAGAAAGTATCACTGTGATCTTTGGATAGAGATGTGCTATCTCCTTGCCACCCACACTCATGAGCGACTGCCATTTTGTGTCTGCGTCAGGAGCAGAAGGCAGCAATGGTTAATTTGCTCCTTCCTTGTTTTAGAACCATCTTATTGTGCTGCTTTGCTGTTTTTCCTGATCTGAAACTAATCATGCAGAATTAAAAGTATGTGTTCTCCCTGCTTGTAAGTAGTTAGGACTCATCACTACGTGAGGAGTCTGCTACAGCCTTTCACTTCCTCTGAACTCACACATACCAAAGACTATATACAGTATGCATATATAATTGCATCCACATGAGCTGTGGGTAGAACCATTCCCATAGCACCGAAACTGGTAAGAGAGTACCGAGTGAGACTTCGGAGTGTGACTGTGCACAAGGCAAAGAGCAGCAAAACCCCTCGACCTTTTATCTACAGGTGGTAAAGTGACTAGATAACGGAATGTAATCTTAGTTAATGGCAAAACAAAGTAGCCACAATGATATAGTTTACAGGTGTTCTAAAGATATAAGTTCATTTATCATAACATCAGGTTGAACAACATGAAGGTCTCAGTACAGTTACATTCCAAGGCTGCGCAAATAAGACCTACCTTATTTTGGTCTCACCCACTGAGTTCTGCCCTCTCACCCACTGCAATGCATAGAGAGCCTATGCCTAGGCTGGCCCAGTTCACGCTGCAAGGCAGCGGGGGACTTACTGGATTGTTGCAGAATTCACATAGGTCATTTCCTCCTATGAAAAGTGTTATGATCTTCCAGTCAGTCTGCATATTTATTCTCTGCACACAGAAGGAAATGGAATGAAAGTTATTAATTAAAAAAAAAAGGGGGGGAGGAGGGGGCAGGCAACCTACTAAACACAAATTTAACATTTCTCAGGGTATCTGGCTATAGTTCTCTAAGCATCCACAACAAAAATGAATTTGTAGTCATGACTGAAGATGTAGAAACTACTAAGATTGAAATAAGGTTTACAATACCAGTAGTACAATGCAAAATTATTTGCATTAGAAAACCGCTCAAAATCCAGTCTGTATGCTTTTCTTAGTAATATCTTGTGTACGCACTGAGTGCCAACTCCTGCAGTTCTAGGAATATATCTTTGTTGCAAAAATGATGGTATATGTTTTAGTGTGTCATAAATAATGCAGCTATCCTGGTGGAAAACCCTGGAGGGCAACATATTTTGGTCTTGCTGTGAGACAAACTGCATAGAATAGAGGGACAACATTAATGCTATGTAGCAATACCGGGGAAAAAAATATCGCACATTTTCCTTTGGAAGGACTTTTTAAAGTGCTAGCTAATGCAAGTTAATTATGCTTTAGTAAACACATACCTTCTTAGCTTTGAGGAAAGGTTCAGATATGCTTAGTACCATGTAGCTGATGATGTACTGATTACCCGAAAGCTACAATTTCCATGCAAAATACCACTAAGAAAAGCAGCGATAGTATATCAGCCTCAAATGGTTTAAAAACATCTATCTTCAAAGGCAGAAGGCAACGTATCCCAGCTGGTAAACACACTGTTCAGTAGTTTAGTCTCAAAACATACTTATCCAAATTAAGAGAGGGGAAAATTTTCCTCCTGCACTAAAAAGGTGTTTTAAAAAGAGAAAAAAAGGAGCTCTTAAATCAAAGATATATGACCTCTGTGATCTATGAAGATTCTTTCCAGTTAGAAAGAAGCTTACTAGTTGAATTAAAAAAGGTTATCAGTTGAATAAAAGGCATTTGCATTCATTTCTGTTGTGTGATGTTTCCAAGCTGATAAATATGACATAGTACTTAAAAACCTTGGATGGTTTAAATGACAACCATCCAACTGCTTCATTGTTAGCTGGTATCCCTTTTAATGTCAATTTCAGATACAGTCATCACAGTGAAATCTTGTTTACAAGAAAGTGAACCAAAAAGGAAGGTACTGCAAATATTTTTGCCAATATGTATTCAGAGTATTTATACTCGGCGTACACGCACAGTTATCTTCAAGGCTTTTTGGCTGTTTTCCAAATGCACAATTAGAAAACCAAAATAATATCGCATAACTTGGGTCACTGATTGCATAGCACATTTGTCAAATTACAAATAGCAAACATTCACAAAGCAGTAGTTGAGGTGAAAAACATGCAAGCAATCCTCTCAGCCTAATCTGTGTTTTACAGACCATTAATCAAATAATTCCTAACAACAAATGTATAAGTAAAAAATCTGCTGATGACTACTGAAAGAAGGTACTAAATTGTTTTTAAAGAAAACAAGTCCTTTCCTCACTTCACACGTTCACTCCACATGATTTGCCACTTGAAAAGCTTGCCCTCAACTTCCTAGCATGTATTATTGCTGGCAAAACCACGTGCTTACAAGATAATTCGTAGTACCACAGCAAAATCCTAGCATAGAAAAAGTTCCATCATCTTACAGGGTGATGTAGGTTGGGAGAGGAAGCAATAGCACTGAATTTACCAGCCACTTGTGGTAAAAATTATAAGGTTACAACTACCTGGGTTTGATAGTAGCTATCACATGCTGGTACAAATTCATTTCAGACAAAACTACAGATTATTTTTTACTGACTCACACTCTGCACTGGGGAATATTACACTGTACGGTGCTGTACCCATAGTTTTAATGTTTGGCATCTGCTGTCGGTCTGTTAGAAATTAATGATGGCACATAACTTCATCTTTCTAAAGGTAGTAACAGCATATTAAACTCACAGTATCATTCTTCATTCGGTCCACCAGTCTTCTAACCTGTGCAGGAACATCTCTAAAAATAGAAGAAAAAATAAAATCATAAAAGTAAAATCATAAAAATAAAAAAGCAATCCTGCATAGACAACAAGACAAAGAGGAAAGCTGATGAATGGACATCCCTCACAACGGCAAAAAAACCCGGGAAAGTCCAGTTTTCATCGAATCAGAGGTATGATACCTAAAAAAGGCTATATTTTGATACAGTGATGGGGGAAAAAAGTGAGAAAACAATCAACATCCAGCAGGCACTGGACCATTTTGCAAACGCTGCATAGTTACACTTTTACAAACTATATAGAAAAATATATAGAAAATACAAACTATATAGAAACCATACAAATTAAATACAAATTATATAGAAAATACACTGCGCTACCACAAAATAAATGCACTTTGCTCCTTCCCAACATTAGACAGATGCTATTGATACATGTATCACTGAAGCATCCATGCAGGTATCAATGTTATTACATGGCCTCAAGCCACTAAGGCATGTCTCATAAGAACTGTTCCCAGAGGAAAAAGAGATGATATGAATTTTGTTGAAGACCAAGCATAGTGCTCTCTAGGTAATTCCCAGCTCTGCCACAGATTGATCATAAGCAATTCACATTTTTCTCTTAGCTTCTCTACATGAGCCCTCGGTCTGACTGGCAAGAGGGTTTGAATATACCTTCTATAAAATGGGGATGTTTTTTCTCTGCCTTACAATAGGGACGTGAAGCTTTCTGAGTAGTGCTTGTAAAGTGCTTTGTGCTTCTTGGTTGAAAATGCCAGAGAAAGCATTGCTTTTGCTGCTAATTTATTTGACATAGATTAGAAACACTGCAAAGTCCCCATCACATTTCTTGGCCTTCATGATAGAGATGGGCTAAAGAAATATATTTGGGCTTTCCTATCAGCCTTATTGCACTCCTGCCAAAGTCCAGGGTTCAGGCCTTTGTTAGCTAGAACTGAGTTTTTTTTAAAAATCAATTTTCTATTTAAAAGAGCTTTCCTCTTACTCTGCACGATCCCCTGCCACAGCTTGGTTGAGTGCAGCATTTGCTGTAGTTTCCTTTCCAGTACCAATGGAATACCCAATCAGGGATGGGTTGAACTCACGAAGAATGTCTGCAGAAAGAGACAGCAGTCTGCAATGTTGCTTACTTCAGCAGGTAATGAATGAGGTTATAAAGATTAGACCTTAGTAAAAGACCATTAAAAAGCTTTAAGAGATACCTATTAAAAAATTAACCTTCAAGTATAATAGAGATTCATTACCATACAACTATTTCCTTGCCTTCAAGATTTCTGAATTTCATGAATTCAGGTATCTCCTGACCTAATGTGATCATCTTGGCTAGCAATGCCATTTTGCCTGGTCAGCGAAGCTGAGTAACCCTATGCTCAGGCAAGGATCTCTCATGCCATCATACTGTAGCTGCAGATAGGTCAGAATCAAATCTTTTATCCTGATTTGCCCAGATGTATTAACCCCAAAGACTTAGGATTCCCTTCTAGATCTTAGGTTACAAACCAGCCTTAGAAACACCCCAGATCTAAAATGCCCTGACCTCTAAAAAGCACGTAAAATCTGATCTTGTAACATGATTCTGCTCCTGCCTAAACCAACTTTCCCATAAAGTCAAAATAGTTTCTTTAGGCTATGAGCTAAGATCTTTGATTCATCTACCCGCAACACATTTTGGACAGAACTATAACCAACAGAAGAATACTGAAACAGCCAAACCCCTAGGAATTCCAAAATACATAGTTAAGTCGTCCACAGCAAATTACAGCCTGGTTGTTATGCAACCTTTCCTCAGCACTGGACATTGAATAAAAAGGGATTGGTTCTGTCACGCTACAAACTGTAAATCTTTCTTCATGTCTTTTATAATAACACCTGTTTTAATAAACAGCTCCGGATATTTATCAAGTTTACAGAAAAAGGCACTTACTTGCTAGTGTCGTGACTGTGCTTATGTTTTCATTTCCTCCAACACTGTTAAAAAGAAAGAAGAAGAAAAAATGTTCCAAGATACAATGGACTTGGTAAGGCAGTGGACTAAGCAAGAGAGCTCCCCCTTATGGGGTTTCTACACACGTACATAGTATGTTCTCTGGTGCTTGTACAAAGTCAAAGCAAGCTCTTTGTGCACATACCAATGGGGTCACGAAATCAGAGACTCTGTCATAATCATAATAATTGTATTCAGAGCCCTGTACACTTGTTGCCCTTTCAGTTCTCTCACGTGTTTTAACATATGCTCAAACCTAGCTGAAAGAAATGAGAAGAATAGCTGCCATCTTTGCTATTTTTGTCCCTATTAAAATATTTATTACTTCCATTTTTAGTTAACAAATCCTTTGTATCCATAACAACAAGTTCTAAAAGCATATATTTCACAGTGATAAGTATACTCAATACGTTTCCTCCTCATTTCACTCAACTAGAAGAATACTACTAGACTGGTAAAATTCACCATATGTCTGTGCACTCTTTACCTTCTTTCATGCTGTAGAGCATGCTAGCATACTTTCCCCTCCAAATGTTAGTACAATATTATTAAATATAGAAATATAAAAATTTGAACTTACAATGTCTCTATAGCATCCCTTTAATTTGGAATAGAGTATTTTGAAGTGCTTTAGCACCTGTTTAAACCTCTTACAGAGTTGCAGTGTTTCAGATGGATAAGAAATGATGAACAGAAAATCAGCCTGACAGGTTTGGTGTTAAATATCACAGTTGCAGAATAATAAGTGAGCATGATTGCCTTTCTTCAGAGTGGCTTTTTGACCTGTCTAATAAAATGCTGCATATGTAAAAGTCTGTACTGACTCATAATTGATAAACCGTTCTGCATGATGTAAGCAATACTGAGAAAGGGTCAAGGAAAGATACTGTGCATGAAACAGCAGCAGCAAAAAAGATCCCATGCTGACATTTCATAGACCACTGATTCTAAATGAGACAAATGAGTGACGTGGGCCACAGCGGGGAAGAGCAGATAGGATATAGAAAGAGCAGGGACAGAAATGCAGAATGCACAAGTGGTGCAATGCCACTGGGATCTAGAGGTTTCCTTTGCAATATCTACAACCATGAGAGGAGAAAGGGATGATCTTAACAAGGACCCTGTTTTCATCCATGTATCTAGGCCTATTCCAGCCACGCTACCATCGTACTCTAGATAGCCACTAGTTTGAATATTTTCTTTATCATTATTAAAAGTACAACCATGTGCCTCCATGCAAAACAAAGTCAGATTCACTCTCCACAAGCCTCCATTTGTTACAAAACCCAACTATATATATTAAAACCCAAGAAAATGGGTTCCCTCCCATTGTGTGTGGGGGGGACTTACTGGGACTCACCTCCAAGAAACACCTCGGTATTGAGTCAGGACATCCAGAACATCATGGGGTTTGGATGCTGCCCCATTGCCTGCCTGGAAACAGAAGAGAAGTTCACCTTCAGAAAATAAGAACTGCTACAGTGACTAGTTCTCTGACTGATCCTAGTGCAAATAATTAAAGAGGATGTTAATGAAGCAAGCTATGTCATCTTCCCAAAATATAACAGATCCTTGTTCTCAAGAGGACCAAGGACTGAGAGTATTTTAACTCTGCTCCAGTGAATTGCCCTCTTCTATCAACTTCTTGATTAGATCAAGTGGGGAAAAAATGGTTGAGAATGCTCAAAATACTCATGTAATTCTAAATTTACATATGGAATAAATAAGATAGCAATGGTCCTGAATGAATAATTTATTACAATGTTCCTCACATTAAAAAGTGGTACAGTTGATTTTATGTCTTCCCTGCCGCACTTTCCCCAAGAAAGGAGACTACAAGGATTTAATGTGGTAATTAGCACAGAACACAGAAGAAACATTAATTATGATATGAGCAGTGAAGCAGTCATCACTGATTGGAGAATCACAGCCAGTCTAGGGGAAACAAGTTTACATAGTTGCAGGAAAAGCACTACAAAAAATTCTCAAGATAAGTTAACACTTAACACACCTGATGATCTATTGCAATTTTACTCAAATATTTAGTTAGTATAAAAGGACATGGCTTTATATGCTTTGGTATTATCATATATATCTCTCTCTCTCTCCTATCATATATATACACACATACATGCAATCAGCTGCATAATTTGTTCTTTCTATTTATGCTGCTTACTAATAGCTTTGAAGGCCAATACCTTGGGAGCCGCCTAGAATCAAGACAGAAAAGCAATTGTGCAAGTCCACTCTAGCAGGCTGGTTTTGCTGCTGCGCAATTTAATTTTGCAGCTCTTCCTTGTGTGGCACTCTTGTGGACTTTAAATGGGAACTGTGCACTCAGATTAGACTCATGATCTGATTGCCAGTCTGTCAAGGTGGAATATGGAAAGGAATATGTGAAAAATGTGTTTGGCTCAATAGGGCATAACTGTGTGTATTCTATTTCTTGGGTTAAAAATTTAGAAATGCTTTTGTGTCACTTGCTTTAAAAATGGTTATCCAGTGATTTTTACTTACTGTGAGTGAATCTCCCAGGGCAGCGATCACCCGAATATCTGCTGGTTTCAAATTATGAACTAATAAATAAAAAATAAAGGTAGTGTAAGGGAAGGAGGAAAGAAAGAAAACGTCACACTGTGATGGTTATCAGAAATTTTCCTTTGAATAAGCATAAAACATTGCAAAGACAGTATTTTACTATTCATAACAGCATCAGCTCAGAATGACAGACACTGACAGGCATCAAACCAGAAATGATTCTTGGTACCATAGCTGGGCATTAGCTACAGCAACAAGGGAAGCAGTAAGATTTCAGTCTTGCATCTGTGCTCACTTAAATTCCTTTTAACCAGTGGAAATGACTGAAAAGCAGGCATAGCTCTGGTGACAGTACAAGGTAGAAATTTTGGGACCATCACAGCTTCTAAGGGAAGACAAAACCCACCCGGGGACAGAATTCCACATGGCTATTTGCACCCCAGACTGCACTGACAAGAGCCCCTACACCATACATACAGTTTTACCACCCTTGCAGCTGAAGTACCCAACTACCTCCTGTCTTTTCCACTGTCACTGCTTTTTTTTCTACATGGAAGATACAATTGCATAAGCATTCACCATCTTTGAGGGAGAACTTGCATTTTGCTATAGAATTTATGTTGTTCCAAAAAAGATCTTAAAAGCCACAGTCAATAGAGTGCACTTCAAAGAAAAGTTTTTCCCTACTAAACGCAGTTCCTGTTCCCCTTCTATCATCAAATGAAGTGGCTCTACAATAAAATTGCATAGGACTGTACCTGAAACTGGAACTGTATCAGAGGGACCCCGGTCAAAACATGGAATATTTGTTCCATAAATCCTCTCCTGCAAAGACAGACGTGGCAAGACTTCACATCAGACTCGCTATACTCTGGTTGTGGTAAACCATTTATGTCTCAGAGCATTAGATTGATGAATTTCCCACATTCTTTGTACACATCTACCCATCTTAGCCTGTTCTCAGGCAGTTCCTACAACTGCCCTTTGAAGGCAGACACAAGCTCAGCCTGCTCAGAAGTCGCATGGCCATATTAGCGCAGCACAGCTCTTGCCTACCAGTGGGGCCAGTTATTTCAGACTCTGTGCCACACAGTGTTCAGCTATGCAACATTTTGTGTGCCCATACTCTGGAGCTAAGTGAGCTCACATCTTTTTGTGAGAAACTGTTTGAACATCCCTGGAATATCCCAGCACAAAACCGTACCTTTATCAGCAGGCCATGAGCCTGCCTTCCCTACGTGCAGCCCTCTACATGCAGCCAGGGATTTGCCCTCCTGGCTCTTTCAAGTTGCAGCCTACCGACAGAAACACCCGCAAGGTCCACTGTTAGTGAAGGCTGCCCATCAGTATACCAGAGCAGACCATTGCACAAGAACCAAGGACCTGTGTTTCCTCCAAATCTCTCTACAGAGCTCCTTAAGTAGGCTAACTCGCCTAAAGAAAATACACTTGTGCGTCTTGTCCCATTGCTCCATTTTAGTTTATTTAAACAAAAAAACCCTCCACAAAACATAACACAAAAATAACAGTGTTGCTTCTTGCCTCCTACACCATAGCTACTAGAAGAATCAGTGGTAGGTACCATTGTCCCATGCAGAGGTCTATACACCCTAACTAACAAAACAGATGGCATGATATTAAAATGAGAGGAGAAATGTGTATTACTATTCCAATGACGTATAGGACGTTTCGAGTGCAGATGTGGTCTAGACACTGTGTTCTGGGGCATGAAAATAAGCATTATCGCCTCCCTCTGCAGCCGCTTGGGAGCACGAAGTTCTGCTCAGAATCAGGGTACCATAATGAAAAAAATCCCACACAGTTGTTTATGTCCGCACATCTAATCTGCAACTATCTTGCAAAAAAGAAAAATGAAAAATCCATTGTTCTTCAGCTTTACTATGGGATAAACAAGATAAAATCAGTGACACAGTGGTGTCATGCTGGTCTGATCTAGTTTCCTCCATGGCAGGACTAAATAGCCCCATTTTCTCTATCATCTTATCCCAGGAAAATTAACGTTGTTATCCAGATGTTTAAAAAAGGTTATTGACAGTGAAGGCAAGGCTTACTTTAGGCTGGCTGAACGCATCTACCTTAAATCACACTCTACAAAATGCACCAAGGAGAAAATGTGCTATTAAGCATCTGACTTAATCAAGCATGGAAATAAAGAGCTGGAACTTTGTATTTAGTTTTCTCAGGTAGCATTGTTTAATTAGGCTGGAATATACTCAGTCCATATGATGCAAACAGTCCTACTATACCTGAGATGTTTCTTTGGTGTTTGATGTCTCCAGGGAAGATGAGTAGTTACTATTTCTATATGTGAACAAATATGGATTTTCCTGCAGAATGAAGAGAGTATGTTTACCAACACTAGTGGAAACACAGTTAGCTGATGTTAAAGTCTTCTGGCTAGATTTTCCAAGAGAAGAAAATCTTTACAGTATTATTTTTTGAATGAACATTGCACTAGTGAAGTAAACCAAGTTAGACTTGAAAATTAAGCCCTGGTATGCTCTAGGCACAGCACCACCTCTTAAACCTAAGATCAAACAAAACACACAATTTAATTTCTTTGATGCTTTAATTGCTCTTCAGTGAAGCTTTTGGATGCCAGTAATATTTTATCACTATCAAATTACTGAAGTCAGAGCTTAAATGCAAAAACATTCAAGAACCTGTTCTTTGAACTTGAGATGGTCACACCCTGAAGATACTGCTGGGCTATTAACAGCTCCAGGGACTAAAATAGTTAAACCTGACAACAGTGGCAAATCACAGCAAAGCTAAAATATATAAAATACATGGATTCAATTTTATTGCTGACACAAACTTTAATACTGATAATGCATCCCTGATATCCACGGTTAATAAATTCAGATTTTTGAATAAAAAATATCCGACACAGTAAGACTAAGTAAGATTTAACTAAATTTTGTCAAAAGTTCTTGTTTTCAGAGTTTCATCTTTATAAAATAAAGAGTCTATGTCAATGAACTTTAAGAACACTAAATTTTTAACAGTGCACTATCCTGGGCAAGAACCCATTCCCAAGAACTTCAGAAGATGACAACCGTATTTGAAAACTTGGAAATTCTGCAAAGAGTAAATAAAATCTCACATTAATAAGGAAAACCTTTTACCTGAGATGGACACTGGACATGAAGCATTTTTGTGACATCATAAGGCTGCTTCTGTCCAACTGGCTCCAACTGGAAAGGGAAAGAACAGAGGAATTATACACATGCTGTGTGGGGGAGGGAAGGGAGAGCAGCAGCAGCTCAAAGGCTCTGGTGCCTGAAGTTTTCCATCAGGTCCATGTATATATTTAAAAACTTGTTTTGTTTATGATAAATATTTATCTATGTATAACACACCACATGTACACCTACAAAAGCAAGGAACTGAAAACAAGGCCTCTCACATGATCTGACTGTCATCCCACATCTTTAAAACAACCATCCACACATTAGCTCTGCTCTTGGGAATGCTGATCCTGTAAGTGTTTTTCCCACAAGGCACTGATCTCACACCACAGTATTCAACTGCTTGCAATCAAGTTGCTATTTATCAGCTCAACCACAGTAACTGTAGACATGTTCCAGAAAAGCATAGCTTAAAACATCCTCATTATTAGTTTCCCCTCCCTTATGGTATGCAGTTTAAGCTTTACTACAATTTGCAAGCCAGTTGTACTTCCCAGCTGAGCTGGGGATGAGAAAGCAAAGGGTGGGTTGCCACAGCTCCACTGCCAGGTAACAGCTCCTTGCAGCAGTCTGTCCGTCCTCCCAGGCCTCATCCACCACATTTTTTGTCTCCTCCCAGGCTGTGAAACCATGCTTATGAACACTGGAGAAAGGCAGGCTTGGGAGTTTACAGTTTATAGTTTTCATATAAAAGTATAAAGAAACATAAAGGCTTTTGTGTGGGAGGAAAAGCAAGTCAGTAGATTGAAACTTAGAAGTAAAACTAGTATTACTGAAACTCCTTGGAAAATGCAGCTTTGGCTCAGATTATACACTGAAAGTTTGGGTAAGTCCACATCACTTTACATTGGAAACAGAAAGTACAAGATCCCTAATATAAATGGAAAACTAAAAATCTTCCATTTTGTGATACATTTATGTTGCATTAACTTTTTTCCTTCTGTCTTATAAGCACTATCTTTATGTACTCCCTCTGCTGCAAATTCATTTTGCAGCAAAGTCAGAAACATGGAATATAACACATTGAGGTCACACAACAATCCTCTGGTGGCTGTAGTCCATGCAACTAAAAACTTGCTAATTTATCCCACCTTCCAGAACTGTTTCCTTATCTGCATTTTCATACATGTTAGACAACATCAAAAGAGGCTTGATGATATTTATATTTTTTGGCTGCCTCCTAACACGATGGAGAGGGGATTGTTGTTAATGAAAAATTACAGAATGATTTGAAACTCAATACTGACAACACAAAGCAGTAAATACCACAAAGAATCACTTCACCTGTTCAGGCACCTTGCCGGGTGCTAATTAAATTGCAATCACACCCAAAGGATTTGGCCACTGGTTTAGATTCCCCAGTGAACGCCTGCTCAGCTTGCAACAGCACCTGCCAGAAGCAGCAGACTACATAAGAAATAGGACTGAAGGGACTGGAAAATACAGCAATAACAGGCTTGACATCATCAATACATTCTGGGCAGGAACATTATATTCTATTTCGGTTGTTCCATCAATGAAAATAATGGAAAAATTCAGAGAAACAGAGAAGAGGTTCACAGAGCTAGATATTCTTTGAAAGACACATTTGAAGAAACAGCCTGTGATTTTTCGAGAGAGAGGTAGGAATAAAATTAATGTCCCTGAAACATGCAAAATAACGAAGCTCAGAGAAAACATATGCTGGGAGCTGGTACTTTCCCATCCTCCCAGGACAAAACAAAGTAGCTATTTAATGACATTCTTAAAATATTCTTCTTCCAGCACAGAATCATCCCACTGAACATGGGACAACAGTGGTATTTCTTGGCTAGGAGTGAATTTCAAACAAGTATTAGACACTTGTATGTTGCTGGGAGTTGGGTGATAGAATGAGTTTCTCCAAGAAGCAATTCATTACAGATGGCTCAGAGACACTGTTCTCCCAGCAAAGACCAAGAGCTCCCATGCAGCAGAGCTGCAAGGTCCTGGTCAGGAAATCGGGCACCAAGTCTGCATTGTGGTCAGCCGAAACCTCCCCTGAATTCCAACGCATCTGTCATGCAGGCCGGTCAGCGTGCGCGTCTGCTCTGGTACTGCAGCAGTTTCTAAGTCAGTGTAAACCCCTGAATGCAGAAGAGAGGCACGGGCAGCCTCCTGCAGTGCTTTTGCCATTTGGGTTCTTGCCTGGTTTCAGTTTGTTTCTTGGTTGCAGGGTAGTATTTTTTTGTGGTCTTTTCTTTTACACAAAAGAATGCCAAACACAAGAGCAAGAGCTTCTTGTCTAAGTTCTTTACACACATGAAAGGAGCTTGGCCCTGAATATTTTTTCAGAGGTAAAATTATAGGCAAATTAATCAGTCAGGCTCTCTGTGGTAAACATCAAAGCTGTCCGAGTAAACAACCACCCTCTCTCAGCTGTTCCTAGCTACCCAATGCCATTTTGCTGACTGATCTCTGATGTGCTTAGTGTATGAATCGCATTGCTCCTAGATCGCTAGAAATGTTTTGGTAAAATATCCAGCCATGCCTAGAACAAGCCCTTAGCATGTGCTAGCTCAGCTTCTTCTCATCCAGACTGAAGTGCAGTCCTACTGCCAATTGCCACTACATTTTCAAGGTTTGCCCTTTGACCAGTAAGCAAGTAATCATTCCAAGGAAGAGGCTGATACTAAGCCTCCAAACCACGTAAGGGCAGGCTGGCAGGCAGCAGGAGGAGGGAAACTCTCGGAATGGCATGCTCCGGCACCTCCTCATTCTGCTGTGTTTGCTGCTTGACAAGTCACGATCTTGATTTCCTATCGGTTCTCAAGACTGCATTGTGAGGTGGTTTGCTTTGGTTTTAAAGCAGTCAGAATAAACCATTAGCTGGTCTTCCCAGTAGAAATAAAGTGACCTTTACGAGGTGAGGACACTTGCCAGTGCTTTTTACACTGAAAACATCTTTCATATCATCTTACATCGTTGTAGAATACCATCACAGGCAGACGAGGAACCTGCTCAGAGAGGTGCCTTTCTGATGATTGCTAGTTGTACTAAGAAAATTCCACTGAAGGATAGAGGAGGCAGGAAAACATAGGGGGAAATACTACCATTCTTGTAGTCTCCCTTCAAACCAGCAGCAAGATGGGGTTTTGCCACATTTTGCTCTTCCTCCAGGTCACGTAGGCTGTCCTCTCTCTAGAGGAACCACCTCACACTGAGGAAAAACACTGAAATAAACCAAAGCTGGTATTTGTCTCCTTTATGACAATTCTCTGGTTCTGGTAGCTCCCCAGCATGCTCACTACCTGAGTCTGGGTAACTGACCCTATAGCAGCCGTCCTTAAAAGTACCACTTTGTTTTGCTTACATGTTTTTTTACCTCTGCTGCTTCCACAAAATGCTCCTAGCAGTTAAAGTGACAAGAATAGAGTAACACACTAAAGAACAGGATGCTTAAGGACAGAGCCCAAATAAAGTCTGCGCAGAAAAGGGTTAGGAACAGAAGAATGAATCAGAGGGAAAGAGGAAGATTCTTCTGCTGGCAGAAGCTGCAAATAAAAAAATATCACCTGAAGGGACAGAAGGAATTTGTTGCAAGCTAAGTGTACGAATTTGAGCAGGCAGGAAAGAGAAATCAGTGCTGAGTTGACTGAGTATGTCTGCATGAGTTATTAAACCTCAGAAGATAAATCCTGGCCCTCTCCCCTTCTACAGAGCCTGGATTTGGAGGAGGCTATATACCTGTTTCAGACTGGGGATGATACTATCACAACCCCTTGTAAAGAATATTTAACATCTATTGGATTCTGTTTAAATTGAAATCTAAAAAGCCGGATAATAAGAGGCCATAGGGGGGGAAAAAAAAAAAAAGTGCTATAATCTAGACTTAGAAAAAACCTGAAAGTGAAGTCCATTAGAAGCACATGAGCTCTGCTAATTGCAGTCTGATAAAAGAGAAGGACATTACTCAAAGCTGGAGGTCAGTTTCCCCACTGATAAGCCCTAGAAAACATAGTAGTTCAGGCTGATCTATTGCCATAGTTAGACGGATCTCAGAATCTGACAAATTTTATTCAGTTGGCCCCAAACAATGCCTGCTGGAGAGGCACAAAATTGGATTGCAAACAGGTGGCACTCTGGTCCCCCTCCAGTCAGAAGCATTCATTTTCTGCACTAGCTGAAAACATACTCAGCATTTCATTTCAAAAATTTGCTGATGGAAAAACCGTGCTAAGCAGATGTAAAGGGCCACTTTTCACAGCAAATCGGATGTTCATACTTTGCGTGCCTTGCTCCCAACCAGCTTCAATATTGTTGTGGTTTAACCCGGCACACCGCCAGAACAACCAAACAGCTGTTTGCTCACTTCCCACCCCCCTCAGTGGGATTGGGGAGAGAGTCAGGGAAAAAAGGTAAAACTCATGGGTTGAGATAAAGGCAGTTTAATAGGATAGAAAAGGAAGAGAATAATAAAAATAATAGTAACAACGATAAAAGAATATACAAAACAAGGGATGCACAGCACAATTGCGTACCACTCACAGACCACCAATGCCCAGCTAGTTCCTGAGATGCAATCCGACCCCCAGCCAGCTTCCCCCAAGTTATATATGGAGCATGACATCATATGGTATGGAATATTCCTTTGGCCAGTTTGGGCCAGCTGTCCTGGCTGTGTCCCCTGCCGCCCCCCCTCCCCCCCAAGTTTCTGGTGCACCTGCAGCCTCCTCATTGGCAAAGCAGTCTGAGAAGCTGAAAAGCCCCTGACTCAGTGTAAACATTGCCTAGCAACAAACAAAACATCAGTGCGTTATCAACATTATTCTCATCCTAAATCCAAAACACAGCACTATACCCACCTCTAGGAAGAAAATTTATTCTATCCCTGCTGAAATCAGGACAAATATTTTTAATGGTTATTATCTGAGGAGGATATGACACTGATTCCTAGTGTCTTACAGATCATGTTAAGGTGATGGTAATTGTGTGATCTAGGTAAGTATCTCCAACACTGATGGGGACACTGAGACATGGGCAGTTAAAGTAACTCAGTTTCATTACTGAGAACTGCCAGAAAGAGAGAATTTTTAATTCACACTTCAGGAATTTGACTTTCAGTGTTTGCTTTGCTCATTTGACTAGTGAAACTAATTGCCTAGAGGGACTAAGGCAAAACAACGATAAAGAACCCAACGTGCATCTTATCATGGCATCCATTTTATGATAGAAGAATTGAGGTAGGAACTTTGACATCATCATGAGGAATGTCACAGATAGCAGCAAAGGAGATAACTAGATGCAGCATGGTTGTTCCAAGGTTAGAGCTTTAACAGCTGATCAATTTTTAACTCTTTGGCTCATACTAACTAACTAAAGTCCTACTAACTTTAAAGAAAAGATAACTTCCTTTATTAAAGTGATTGTACTATTTTTCTAGCTATATCATCTGGTTGAATAAAAGCCTCTTCCTGCAAATCCTGCTTCTTTAAATGATCAGGCCTACAACAGCATTACTGCTGCCAGAATTAGCATAAAGGGAAACAAGAACATGCCAATCTGCATGGATTTATTTTTAAATGTGGTTTAGTAAAAGGCGGTTGCAGTATAGGCTTTTTTTTCCTTCATGCTTAGCATAATTTGAACAGACACAGGAATAGTAGGTGCTTTCAAGTGAAAAACTTAACATGTGGAATGCAAAACAAATAAAAAAGTAAATATTTTATCTGTAATCTAACTTAGTTGGCCGTTGCAGGTTCTTTTTAATTTAAAAAAAAAAAAGATTATATGTGTTATAAGAAGGTTATTAGAAAGAAAAGCAGAAAATTTTGAAAGTTTTTAAGTCAGAAGGAATACTAAAATCAACATCTTATCCCAAACTACTGATACCGGGTCATATCCAAACATAATATGCACTAAGCAGTAACATCCTACTTTGCTCTGGTGAGTCCAAAACCACATGCCTGCTTTTTTGTCTCATTCGTACTGAGAAGCAACTCCCGTTTCTTTACCTGCCCCATCATCAATTTTAAAATGCAAACCCCTCCAGCTGTACATGTATCCACTCAGTCATACACACAAACACTGTGTGTTGGCAGCTCAAGCCTGCAGAAGGAGACAGCCTCCTACAGAATTGGTCATCATGTTCAAGCTCGACTGGGTCAGAAAGTCCATGTTTCTTTCAGCCACACTCTCCCTCCCATTAGAAAGCACCATGTGTTGGCTTTCCTCAGCTGGGTAGGACATCCAGCTCTTAAGGAAGTAATAGGAGCTCCTCAAGGCTGTCTATCACCTTTTGACTATAAGCAACAGTAGCAGATGATGATGGCTAAGGAGGAGACAACCTTATGAGACTCATTAGTAAAGAGGGGGATGGATATAGGACAGAGGAGAAGAAGAGTATAATTGCTATTATCTCAGGTTAGGACAAGCCTCAGTTGTCACCGTGCCACTCTGTCACAGAGGTGAGACTAGCAAAAGAAAGGTCTGTCACAGCTCATTTACTCCCTGAGACTTCCCAAAGGGCTACTTTGGAAACCTTTCTAAAAAGCTCTGCTCTTGGTAGTAAGCAGCAGCCACAGAACAACAAGAGATTTTTCTTGGGAGTGTAGGACATTTAGCATTACTTGAGAGCAGTCTCTATGCACAGCTGAGGATAGCATAGTCATGGGATGTTTCTTTCCTATATTCTTCCTTCCCCTCCCTCCTTGCTTCTCAAAGCCTGGCTAGCATGGAGTTGCTACCAGGCTTCCGTACTAAGTCAAGTAAGAAACAGTGTCTGGTACTACTCACCATGTTGTTCCAGAGGCCCACAGCCATGAAAGTATAATCTTCTTCCAGAGCTTCCAGTTGTGTCTTTGATGTGGTAATGAAACCATCCCTGCCCTGAAAGGGAAAACATTTTGAGCATGAGAAAAACTGAAGAGTATGGAAAGATGAGACATTCAGCCATAAAAGGTCTCATTCTAGAAAATGATATTCATATCCACAAGAATATCAATCTCTGGCACTCTCATTAAGACACTTGTTGCTGATCTCAGTTACTGCTGGTGTGTCAAGACAGAACAGATGCTGTTCTAGTAAGTGATTGCTGTACCTACCACTGTAAGGTGGCAGTGAAGGGATCACACACCAACAGGATAAGACCATCAGAGCAACAACAGAACACAATCACAATAGTGACATATAGGAAATCAGGGAGATACACAGATGTGATCACATTAATGATTTGGAATAAACACCACTTCCTCTACCTAACACTTATGTGCATTTAGAAAGCAGAAGCATGCAGAATTTGTCTTAAGAGATCATGCTTATTTTTAAATGAAAGTAATGTTGGAAGAGTTCAGAAGATTACACATGGTGGCCTGAAGGTGTACCACAAATCAGAAGAAATAAAGAATCCACCTATTACATAAGATGACATTTAAGGCAATAACAGAACAATTTACTTCGAGAAAAAGTAATGCCATGAAAGCTAAAAGTCTGTCATTTGCATATGGACCAGCCATCACCAAAACAAGCCTGGCGTAAGACGACGCAGCACCAAAGGAAGATTTTGCAACATAGCAGACCCCAAGCTTCCTGGAAGACAAATTTCTTCTCCTAGTTCACTTTGTTCTGATACTGAACTGAGGGGAGCAATGGAATTACCACAGGTTCAAGGAGCTGTTATGATGCCCAGGAATCAGACCATGACTCATCACCAACCTGTTTTACAAATAACCATCTAATCATAGAATCATAGAACCATAGAATGGTTTGGGTTGGAAGGGACCTTAAAGATCATCTAGTTCCAACCCCCCTGCTGCAGGCAGGGACACCCTCCACTAGGCCACATTGCCCAAAGCCTCATCCAACCTGGTCTTAAACACTTCCAGGGATGGGGCCTCCAAAATGTTATGTGTTGGATTTGCATACCTTGCTCTGTTTGAACCATTATCTAGGAAGTAATATTTTCCCTCTTCATTATCAGCTCTCAGGCAACCTTGACCTTTGAACTTCCCTTTAAAGGCCACTTGTGGCAAGACTTTTTGTCTGACATCCCAGGCAACCCGATCTATATTCACTGTTCACTGGCTATATCAAATACAAAATCCGGACAAAATGTATTCCCAAGTTCCCAGACTGCATTAATCTCATTGCAGGGAGGTAACTCTACTTTCCAGTAGAGCAGTTTACAAAACTTTTATCTTTTTTCCCCCTATCCTTTTTTAAATACTTCTTGTTACGCTCTTTTTGCCTTTGTTTCGAAACACACATGAGCATAATCAGGGATAAATGAGCTGATGACTACAAAGATATGGAAAAATTAGCAGCATTGACAATTTCCAGACACTCGTGACCTAATCTACAGAGCTGCTATGACTTGATTTCTCCAGGAACACAGCATTCAGAAAAACACAGGATCTCTGATTGAAGCACGCTTCATTCTCAGCACCTCTGTGTCTGATCCTGAGGTGTGCTCTGTATGTGCCTGACTACCCTCATCTTCTGGCATTACACACAGCCTAGAGAGGAAAGATGAATATTGCACTCAATCTCAGCAGATACAATTCAGAAAGAATGGAGCAACTTGACTTTACTCACCAGTCTGAGCAGCAGATTTGTTTCTTGGAGAGAAGGCTGAAGAACGACAGTGAAGTCATCCTTTTGCTCATACCTCTCAGACTCCAGCAGTTTTTCCCAAGCATCCTGAATAGACAACCATTTAATCAGATGAGTATTATCAGGTAGAGAGCGTAATGTATGTGTAATACATCAGGGCTTAAAGTGAACTAAGATTATCCCCATCCCTAATAAACCACAATAATCAAATTCTGTAATCCAGAACAAAGACAGTAATTTAATGAAATCTTCTTACACAATAATAATTGGAAACTCCTTGTAGCTATGAGAAAGCTACACTGATTTACGATAATTTTCTTTGAAAGAGCAGCAAGCTTAGCAAGGCAATGAGATGTCATGCTTATTGCCTCCCTATAATTTTTAAAAGGAATTCTAGCACAACTGTCTTTGTCTTAAGAGAAGATTTCCCTCTTCTAAATCATGTGGCAGATTACTGGACAAGATGATAATTTCTGTGATGGGATATGACAAATTCTAGGTTGCCAAAAGCTATATAGTCTTTACAAAATTCGAGACATACGAAGATCACTCAGGTATAGAGAGAACTTATCTCCCGTGTTCCTGATGTAAAATGGGGTCAGGATTGCTGTGGACATGTGGTAAAAAAGGCTGTTACTCAACTTCCTCACTGCTATTCCTCCCTTAACTCCTCACTTCAGTCCAATCTGGAAAATGAATAGATGTGACTAGCAATATGAGAGCCAAGCAACACAGAAGATGCCATACCTGATAGGACCACCTCAATAGGTTATCATCTAATGTGGAGCATTCACTAACACAAGTACACTGATTCCTGCCTGGATTGCTGCAGAAAAGAATGAAAAACGTGATAGGCTTTATGAACTTCCAATAAACAAGACAGATAGCATGAACTCTTTTAGGCCACTGACAAGCACGTATCGAAGACTAAATTGTTGCATATATTGAGAAAGCTACATGGAACAACCTAATTTTTGACATAAATGTAAAATTATACACTATATATATTCCATGTCCAGAACTTTGGATTGCTTCTTGATTTCAAAGCCTATTTGGATGACAAATATGCCTGACTTGAATTAGCACAGGGTCTCACAAGCTCGCAGCGTGCTCAGGCTTAGAATAGTGGCTGCACTAGTTTTCAAACATTTCCCTCTATATAGTCACATAGGAAAACTGAATACACTCAAAATACTTGCACGGGAACTTTTGCCTTAGTTTTTGGCAACAAGACCTGCATCTAGAAATGTGGATAGAAACTCAGTGCTGCAAAATCTTGTATATGCTTGTCCTGGTTTCGGCTGGGATAGAGTTAATTTTCTTCCTAGCAGCTGGTATAGTGATGGGTTATGGATTTAGGATGAGAACAATGTTGATAACACACTGATGTTTTTAGTTGTTGTTTGGCAGTCATAGCGCCTACACTAAGTCAAGGACTTTTCAGTTTCTCACACCCTGCCAGGTGCACCAGAAGCTGGGAGAGCACAGCCAGGACAGCTGACCCAGGCTGGCCAAAGGGATATTCCCTGACATGTAACATCGTGCTCCAGATAGAACTGGGGGAGTTGGCTAGGAGGTGGTGTGGCTCAGGAACTAGCTGAGCATTGGTTCTGGGTGGTGAGCAGTTGTGCTGTGCATCACTTGTTTTGTATATTCTTTTATTATCATCATCATCTTCCTTTTCCGTCCTATTAAACTGTCTTTATTTAAACCCACAAGTCTTACCTTTTTTTTTTTTTTTCCCCTTTTGATTCTCTCCCTCATCCCACTGGGGAGAGTGCTAGGGGAAATGAGCCGAACAACTGTGTGGTTGTTTTGGCTGCCTGCTGGGTTAAACCATGACAATGCTAAAGGATGGCCAGGCACTGTCAAGCAGCCAACCAACCTCAGCCCAATTTCTGACCTGCAAGGCGAGTTCTGCATACTGCATATTTCTGCAGCTAGTTGGAAAACTCAGACCTTCTCCCAGGGCTGTAGACAGGAATAATATAAGATACATTTAAGATTAGTCTGGTTCCAGCAAAAATATACTCAGTTGAAAATGCCTGGATGGACTGGAGTCTGAGAAACATTTTTGTGGGCTTTGCAGATGTAAGCAATAAATACCTGTCAGGATCAGACTCTCTATCCTTTTCACAGAACTCTAGCTAAACCTATAAAATGGAAGCTTTCTGTTACAGTGCTTTTATCACTGCTGGTGAGTGAAAGAAATGTGAAATCAGGACCATAATCTTACCCAAGCCTAAAAACCACCTCATACAATACATGAAGGGAGTTATATGCCTAGCTACTTTCAGTGCAGACAACACTTATGAGTAAGAAACTAATAAAGGAAGGAACTTTAAATCCCTATTATGCCCCAAATTTCTATGTCTAAAGTCAGGTACTGACATGGGACTGGGAGTGTCAGGCACTATTCTCCTCTTAGACACTCGAAATTTCATCTTTTGGTATGGGCCTATGTTTTTCTTTCAAAGCACAGCTCAAAATGGGGACTTGGTAGCCAAATGCTGAGGCCCTTATCTGGGAGACGATATGGGCCTGAGGCAGAGATGAACCCAGGAGTTTACCAAACATTGAAGTAGAAGGCTTGCAAACTGGTCGAGCTGTTCAACCAGATAAACACAGCTAAAAGAGCATGCTGACAACAAGAAAGCAAATGGCCTTAAGTTAGAAAAGGAAATATAAAAATTCCTCAGAGGAAAAAAGTTAGATTTTATTTTTTAAGGCCTTCAATATATGGCAAGGCGCACATTCCTAAGTCTATCTTTTCCACCTCTTATCTACCTGTCTCACGTTTTTCCCCTTAGTGCCTGTGCAGGAGAAATACGCTAGAATGCTCCATGCAACTGCTTTTATCAAGGAAAGCTTCTCCTCTGCTTATACTTGTTGTTAAGCACATGGTTACACAGCAGCCAGAACCCTTCCTTGACTGATGGAATGTCTCCCGGGTTGTATACATGCAAAGCTTGTGAAACACTTCAGGATGACTATATTAGTACATATGGTGTCTTATGCCACGGGCACAGGAAAAAAAAATTACTGTGGAGTAAGATGGAGTATAATCTCATCAGCTGTAAACTACTCCATCATAACTGTCCATGTGCACACTCCTACTCCATACTAAATCAGGACATAAGCTACTCACACTTTTGTTACAAGGTATTCAGCAAGGGAGATGAAAGCATCTAGGCACACAGTTTACCATAAGGAACTGACAAGTTGGATGTTCTCCATCCTACCGTAACCTAAGCCCAAGTAGTAACTTTCACATAGCCTAACAATGTACTTTAAGACCAGTTATTCCTTTTGTGAACATTGATATATAGAAACTTAAACTTTTAAAGAGCCTACAGAATTTTTGACTTGTGAGTTGCAGGGCAGTAGTACTAACTAAAAAGCTAAAAGCTAGGGGTAGGTAGACTGTGGAGTCTTGTGACCATAATCACAGTATTGAGTCTGGCTGGGATGGAGTTTACTTTCTTCATAGCAGCCCATATGGCTCTGTGTTTTGGATTTGTGGCTAAAACTGTTGATAACACACCAGTGCTTCGGCTGTTGCTGAACACTGCTTGTGCAGCATCAAGGCTTTCTCTTTTTCCCCCCATGCTGATCCATCCAGCAAGTAGGCTGTAGTGGGCAAGAGAATGTGAGGGGACACAGCTGAGCCAGCTGACCTGAAATGGCCGAGGGGATGCACCATACCATGTAACATCATGCTGAGCAATGAAAACTGAGGCAGAGGGAGAAGACCATTATGGCTTCCAAGGTCACTGTTGCCTGGAGACTGGATAGACATTGCTCCACTCGTGGGAGGTGGTGAGGGATTACCTTTGTATCACTTATTTTCCCTCCTCTTTCTTTCATCTATTAAACTGCCTTTGTCTAAACGCATGAGTTTTCTTGCTTTTGTTCTTTCTAATCTCTCCCCTGTCCTGCTGGGGGGGGTGGTAAAGGGGAAGTGAGTGAGAGGCTGTGCAGGTGCTTGGCTGCTGGCCAGGGTCAATCTGCCACAACTACAGTGTGCAATATTTAAACAAATGCTATCCAAGTTGGCAGAATTAAAAGCACCTACTCTTCCTGGTAAATCTATGTCTTGCAGAGAGAGCGTATCAGAAACAAAGCGGAGATCTAAAAATCTTTGACATACTTCTGTAGTAAGGGCAGAAAACCTGTTCAGAAGACTCTACATCAGTTATAAAGTCAATCCATATACATAGCTACGTGTCTGAACACTAATGAGAGACAGTGTCAAGAATTTAAAGGAAACTTTGTTACCTGGCATTACTGTAATCTTGGCATGCAAGAGAGAAAGTTGTGAGCTCAGTGGAATCCACTAGATTTATGAAGGCCTTGGGAACCTGCAGTGATAAAGTAAAAAATAATCATGTTATATTTGCAATTAAAGATCAGCAAGTAGCAATAATGGTAAATTATATCTACAGCTTCACATGTGTTACCTCTGGCCTGGGATTCGCCTGCATAAATTCAATGATCTAATCTCTGCCAATTTTGTCCTGAACCCTACTTCTGTGCCTGCCATCTAGTATAACATTGATCAGCATTCACAAAGTACTTGTGACCATGACTTCTTGACTGAGACCCAGCAATTCATTTTACATAACCAAAATGGCCACTAGCCAAGTAAACTGAACTCAAATGAACTAGGGACTACCATTTTTTTGGCAACATACCAATGCAAAGCTGTGGATGAAACGTCCTGTATAGCAGCACAAGCACTCATGCATACCGCCTCACCTCTCCCCCAAGCAGAAAGCAGCTTTCCATTTACATAATGATATTGCACTTTTACAAGTGCACATATACAGATTCTGAAAATAATGGTGGAGATAATCCGAAGAGAATGTGTGGGTGGAACTGCACCCATACACAACATTTGTTGAAGTCAGTCTGAGAAAAATGAGTGGTTGTGGCCTGATGCAATCAAACTGTAGCAGGTTTAGAATATCCTTTAGGCCTTCAATCCAGCAAAACAAAATTCTTGGAAAATGCTATTGAAATACTTCAGATAAACAGCTATTAGGCTGCTTTAGTAGTGAAATATCCACATCTAGTCTACTATTCAT